AGTTTTGTTCAGAATTTAATGCTGATTCTAACCACATAGTTTTTTCCTAAATGTTTGGGGGCGAAAAAATAATCTTACCGCCACTGATCCTTTTCAAAAGTTCATGTTGTTTTCGCCTTTTTTTTTCTTTGACAAAAGAAGAAAGAGACACAGCTAATCGAGTGTCGTCTCTTCGTTGTATTATCATGCTTCATCGATTATATCAAAGAAACTGACAATGATAGATTGTTGACAATTAAGAGATTGTCGTGACTCTGAATAGAAAGTGAATAATCAGACCTTATTTTTTTTATTCAGTTAGTGTAAATACTGGTAAGAGAGACAAAAGAATAAAAAAAACAAGTAATTTTGTTCATATTACCGATATTTTTATTTTTTATGCTTGAATAATCACTGTAGCTCAGAAATGTATAAATATTTATGTTTTTGTTGTGTGGTATTATTATTCACTTTTTATTGTAATCAAACCGTGCATAATATTTGGACGATATTCAAGTATGATACAGTAAGTTATTTTTTTATTTTTTTTTGTTTGTTTATATATAAAATAACTAATACAGACTTCTGTTATAAGACGATATCACAAATTCAATTTTGTTCTTGGTTGAGAAATCTATACAGATGCTATTTACCTACAAATTGCTAAGTGTGTAGTTCGAAAGATTTGAAAATAATCTTTTTCATTGAGACAATACTCACCTAGAAATAAATACATTGTATCAATGAAGCCAATAATCATTTACAATTGATTATTGTCTTTCAGCTGAGTCTATAGTGTTAGTTTCTTGGTCAGAAAATAAAAGTTTTATATATCTATATTTTAATTCTTATGATGAAAAGAAAAGGATATGATAAAAGTATCTATGAAAACAACATAATTTCTCTGATTTATATTTTATATAGGCACAAATTGGTTCAAATTATGAGAGTATCAAGTGGCATTTATGTCATTACAATTCTCTTATCAATAAACACTGCTCAATCATATTCTCTCGAAGATTCCGACAGTACATATGATCAGCGTGATGCGTCAATTTTGTATTTACGACAAGTTCTAAAACGTATTAAATCAAATCGTCATGACAATTTACAATGGAGAAAAAGTAAATAATCGTTCATTTTTGTGTGCTTCCAATTTTTAACTTCATCTAATTATTCATACTAATTCTAATCATGACTATAAAGGCATTAATTTATAATATAACTTTTTCATTTGAATATTTATTTGATATGTTGATTCTAATTTTCAATTTAATATATTTCAGGAACGGATGCTACATCAAACAAATGCAAAGAAATAAATTCAAACACGTATTATGGTGGTGATATTGGACCAGCCATAAATAATATGACTACATATCGAGATTGTATGAATCTGTGTGAAACGGATAGTAAGTGCTATGGATGGCATTATCTAAGTTACACCAAGGAATGTTGGCTTCATACATCAATAGGTCCATCATATTATTCTGTATACTATACGGGCGGAACTTGTTTTGGTAAGTGAACTACAGAAATGGATTGTCATCTGCTATTTTTTTTGATATTACTTTCTAAAAGAATAGTTCAAATTTACATTCGCCGATAAAACTATAGAATAAACAAAAGAAAATTTGATAAGATCTTTGTTTTTACAGTACCATTATTAAGAATCATATAAGAAAGCAATATTCACTCTAGAAATTGTGAAAAGCTCAACACGAATATGACTGTTTGAATTAATGTTTTTAATTTTTCTTTTACAGGACCAGCTGCGAAAGAAACGCACTGCACTGAAGTAATAAACGGCGGCGCTTACAACGGAAATGCTGGCGCAGTAATAAGTCAAGTGGCTACATATCAAGATTGCATGAGTAGATGTGATGCATCAGCAACATGCATGGCATGGAGTTATGCAGCGTCTTATAGTATGTGTGTGCTACAAATTACAGCATATGGACGGGTAATTGATAACCTGGCTATAGGTGGATCTTGTATTAGTAAGTAAACTAAAGAATAAGTTATTTATAACCATTTTATTATCTTAAATATTTCAAATTTGATATTACTTTAGAAAAACAAGCACCATATCCACCATTAACTACCACAACGGGTCCACCAGTAACTACCACAACGCGTCCACCAGTAACTACCAGAACACGTCCACCATTAACTACCACAACGCGTCCACCAGTAATTCCAATAATAGGTCTGGAAACATGTAGATAATATATGTTTATTCTAATTTTAAATTCGTTATTTTTCAGGAACGAACGCTACACTAAACAAGTGCAAAGACATAAAATCAGGCTCTTATTATGATGGTGATATTGCACCATCCATAGATAATATTGCTACATATCGAGATTGTATGAATTTGTGTGAAGCGGATGGTAAATGCTATGGATGGTCATACCAAAATTCCAGTCAGAGTTGTTGGCTTCAAACATCAGTGGATAGGTTACATCCTGATAACACAAAGATGGGTGGATATTGTCTTGGTAAGTGAACTACAGAAATGTATCGTATTTGCTTTTTCTCGATATCACTCTCTAAAAGAATAGTTCGGTTTTATATTCGAAGATAAAACTATAGAATAAGCAAAAGAAAATTTGATAAGATCTTTGTTTTTACAGTATCATTGCTAAGAATCATATAAAAAGATAATATTTACTCTGAGAATTGTGAAAAGCTCAACACGAATATGACTCTTTTCAATTATTGCTTTGAATTTTTATTTTATAGGACCAGCTGCGAAAGAAACGCACTGCAATGAAGTAATAAACGGCTCCTTTTACTATACTAATTATCCCGGTCCACCAATTAACAATGTTGCTACATACCAAGATTGCATGAGTAGATGTGATGCATCAGCAACATGCATGGCATGGTATTATGTAGCGTCTACTAAATTCTGTCAACTGCTAACTATAGTAGATTTCCAGATACTTGACGTGGGCTCTATAACTGGATCTTGTATTAGTAAGTGAACTAAAAAATAAGTTATTTGTAACCATTTTATTATCTTAAATATTTCAAATTTGACATTATTTTAGAAAAACAAGCACCATATCCACCAATAAGTATCGAAACATTTAGACAACAAGCATTAGATCAACATAATTTTCATCGTGCAGAACATTGTACACCTCCCCTTATATTAGATCCAGCATTGAATGATATAGCACAACGTTATGCAGAGCATTTAGCTGTTACTAATGTAATGACACATAGTGGAGCTTCATTCAACGGTCAGTATATGGGAGAATGTTTATACAAGGCCTCCAGTTTAAAAGTATTCAATGATAAAGGTAGACAATCGTCGAATTTTTCTATTTTTATTTAAAAATTCTGTATATTCGAAGGTGCCGCTTCAGTTGACTTTTGGTACAATGAAATCGAAAATTATAATTGGTCAAATCCTACAGCCGCATATAACACTGGACATTTCATGCAGGTAATGTGGAGAGACACAACTAGATTAGGTATTGGTAGGGCACTGACAAGTGATAATAGGACCATGTGGGTGGTTGGAAATTATTTTCCAGGAGGAAATGTCCCTGGAGAATATGAAGAAAATGTCTTACCAATATGTTGAACAAGCTATCTGGTTTTGCATAATTTTCATCTTATCAACAATTAACAAAACATTTTTTTCAAAATAGAACTTTCATTTTAAAAATATTTAACATGCAAAAACTAACAATTTTATCATTTTTATGCTTTTACACATAACAATTTCAAATAACTATGAGTAGCTAGATTAACTTCATTATTGTAATCTAAGTAGATTGATTGAATTCTAATAAAACTATTACTTTTACTTGAAAAATAACAAATTTTTATGTTGGTGTTTTTACATTATTAATAGTTACTCAAAATCTAGTGAAGTGATCTGAATACTGATTGAAAGTAATTGTAATGGATAATAAACATATATTAAGAGTTTTTCAGCTCATCAATTTTTTCATAGTAGTGTATTTGATAAATTATTTTTCTTAATGAAAGATATTCATATAATTAAAATGACTTTTATTGGAGAATTGGCGTTAGAATACTTTGTCTATTCAAAATAATGAAAACAATATTCTCCTGTTGAGTTTGGTTGACTGTAGAAAGGGCGAAAGGAAAAAATGTCTTAGAATATAATTTAACGCTACATAATCAGAATATAATTCAAAAACAGAAAAATTAATGAAATGGTTATTAAACAAAATAATTATAAATTTAGTGACTTTTATGAATAATCAGTAAATTTCTAAAACGACGAATTATTCGTTAATGAGACTGATAAATAAATTTTTTAATGTTTGTTTATATCACAAAGTCAAAAAAAAATGAAATACGTATAGAGTGAATCATTTTGTTCTTCCTTTTTTTTTCTTTTCGACTGTTCTACAAATATTAATCGTTGTCCTAACCTACTCATTTTGATCTATATTTTTTTTCAATAAGAAGAATCATTGCTTTAAATTTTTTTATCGTTCATTATTTGAAAAACAAAGGGAGACAAGTTTCTCGATTTATTCTCTAGTCGTTTTGTTTACTTAAACATAAATAACACATTTTCCGTTCACAAGCTTTGACGTATTTAATTTAATATGGACGTACAAAAAATCATAAAGAAAAATAAATTAAAAGTTTCTATCAAAAAAGATATATTCGATAATGCTATTGCAGCAATAGCATCAATTAAAAATTAATGATCAAAATATTACATAAACCATATTGAAGAAGAAAAAAAATTTATTATAGATTAAAATTATATGAGCACATAAATATCATAATAATAAAAGTGAAAATTAATTTCTTTTCAATAATTATAACTAAATATTTATAGATGATAACAAAATTCATTTTAATTTTTTCAATATTTTCTTTCATCGTGTTCAATTGTTTGGTTCATGATTGAATGTTTTGTTTTAAATCAAATAAATTAATAAATGAATGCTGTTTATGTTCAAAAAGAGAACAATCACTGCAAACCGTATCTTTACAAACCGAACACCAATTAATATTGTCATTAATAATCAAATGGATGGCATAAATTTCAAATTGATTTAAATTATGCTTAAGTTTTAAACATCTTATACAATAATGTTTTGAGCAAGTTTAACAACAATGATCATATTTTGTTTTTAACGATAATGATGAATTAAAACCCTCAATAACAGCTTCAGCTACTCGATTAATAAGTAATTTAATTATCCGTCATTGGAAAATAACCTGCGTCATCGTGACATAATTTTTCATTACATTTATAACAAGATGTATGTGAGCATGGAAGTAAATGAGTACCATCATAGAAATCGAAACAAATGGCACATTTAACTAAATTTTCTATACTATACTGCTGGCTGTACTTGAATTTAATGGTGTTGTCCTATTCTTGTACTGAATAATGAAAATATGTGTCTTTTATATCTTTACAAAAATATGAAAAAAATTCCTCCTTTGCCTGCTTCTTTTATGGTGATATTCTTTGTTTGGATATTTATTTATAAAATTCCATTTTTTTTTTATATTACTATACTAAAGCAAGCAAATGAAACGATAATGTCAGTGAGTCACATGGTGACGATAATTTTTTTTTCTTTCTCTTCTCCTCAGTTCACATGTGAAAAGCTTTTTTTCTTTATTTACAACGTGTTTGTATCAGTTATATCAAAAGAATGTGTGTTGGTAAGGTTTTGCGATGAAAGTGAACATATTGATCTACCCACGTTTAAGATAAAACTTAATCATTTCTATTGAAGAGTTGATTGATTACAATTCATATATGATAAATAAACAATTTATTTATTGAAATATAATATTCTCAAGTCAATTATATTTTGAATATGAACAGATTTTTCGAAGATCGATTTCTATACTTATAAAAGGAATATATGATGAAATATAGTGTTTGAGTATGTGACACTGGATAATAATGAAGAAAATTATAATTTTTGTCATATTCGATCATTGGATGCATTCATTGTATATTTTTTGTAAGATTATTTTAATACATAAAATTCTGTTTTTCATATGAAATTACTGATAGACCTCTTATTAAACGCAAGACAATGAGAGAATGTAAGACAGCAAAAGTAGAATAGAACGTAAATAAACATTTAACTATGAAGAGTAAATTATATGAATAGAGCAATAAAAACCATAATCGAATATATTCATTAATAGAAAAACTAGAAGACGACAGTTAGTCTTATAGTTGTGACCATTTTTTGACTAAATTTCAATCAACCAATGCTATCTATAAACTGACGTTACATAGTTGGGAGGAGGAGACTTTAAAAGTACAAGTGAGAATGAACTTATTGTGAAGGAGTAGATAAGAGATGATTACATCTTTAATAGAAATTATACATATTACATTTGAAAATATCAAAAGATATGTATAGTTCATATACGAAAGTACTCAAAATATCTATAATATTTCTTGATCGTGTGGGTATGGGTGTTATTTCTGCTATACAAATACCCACTCTCACATATGGAAATAAACTTTTCTTTTTTTTTTTAAATAAAATAAAGTGCAGAAAATATTATTTTCAAAAATTAACAAATAGAACAACATTTTGTTTTCTTATTTATAGATTTATATTAAGTTCTCAGATGTGTAAAGTCATTTCTAACGCAGATATTGTTGTTTCATTTTGATCATCAATATTAAATAATACATCATATAAAACATCAATTTCTGAATTTAGATGAACATTAGTTGATGTTTGATTTGAGCACGTTTACTTCTTACTGAAATTTATTCATTTAATTTTCTCAAATTATAATTAGAATCTTTGTAGGTTATCACTGATATCAATTCTTGATTAAATTGTGTCCAGAGAAATAAACAAAAAATATGTTTAATTTGGTATTACATCGGAATCGTTATCCAATTCGATGTTGTAGAATTATTCTCAAATAAATTAAAAATTTCTTTGTGTATAAGAATATCATTATAATCTATAATGAAGACAGTTAAAGGACAATTGAATAGTTTTTCTTTTATGCTTATAGCATTGAACTTGAATGGTTTATCTAGAAGAGATCAATAACCATATGCATAAGTTTTCATTCAATTCTTGACATTTTTCTTGACCAATTAATAATTCTGATAAATTTAACTATAGACGAGTATCGTTAATATCAGTTAGCAATGTATTTGATGATATTTCGTCAATATTTTCAGTTTTATGTGAACATAGAAGTAAATGAAGATCATCGTAAAAATCGAAACAAATGGCACATTTAACTAAATTTTCTAATATTGTACTGCTGGCTATACTTGAAGTTAATGCTGTTGTCATATTCTTGTACTGAATAATGAAAATAATTGTCTTCAATATCTTTACAAAAATATAAAAAAGTTCTTTCATTGCCTGGATCTTTTTACAGTAATGCAATTTATTTAAACATTTATTTATAAAATTCACTGAGTTTATTTTATAGATTTCATCGTACAAAATGTCCATCTTTTTTTCAACTCTATTATCCATGATCTTTCTCAATATACTAACACTGTAACAGTATTACTATAAGCATAGTTTTCGGTATTTATATCTAAGAGAATGATCCTTGGCGAATATATCTATCATGATTTATTGTAGTCGAAATGATTCCATAATTATCATATGTCGTACTGTAGAATACATCTATAACAATCGATGAAAAGCTTTTAGAACACTTTTTATATAAAAATGAAATAATAATAACATTTATGTAAGATTTGAATAAAAGCAAATTAGGTTAATTGTGATTGCTGAACAAGTCAAACTACTGTGTGTTTATTTTGTATCATAAAAGACTTGTTCTAGTTACAAGGGCAATGATCACTCGAATAGACTTCGCATTGTCTTGAATCTATCACGCTGTGCTTTATTTAATTAGATCAATATCATAAATTAATCTTTTCATCGTTTTATAATGGTACTAGGAGGAAACATGATATAGTACACGACATGATGTAAGACGTTGCGATGAGGTTAAATAATAGAAAAATACAATGAATACAATATGATTTCTTATGTTAACATGCATCATAATAGAGTGTATTACTCTTATCTCTCATCATCACTCACATGTAAATGTGAATTCAGTGAAGTAGAACGTTTTCATTCATATGACTATTTCGGTGGTGTCTTTTTCATTCGAAAAATAAGCAAGATTAAACTAAATTATCAAATATTCTATAATTGAGCAAACAGTTTCATATTTATTTTAACTAATTTTGTTCAAGTAAAATTACTCATTAAAACAAAATAATAAGTCAATCAACAATATCTTATCTGAATAATAAAATTACTTTATGTTTCCTATGTTTGCTTAAAATCTTCAGATGAAAATGATTTTTTATTATTTGTAGAAGATTTTCATAAATAAAACTTCATTTGATGTTTCTTTTTGTTAACTTTGAACTTTTAATTAGTTTAAATCGATACCAAGTTTCATTAGCATAAATCACATCGTGCAAAAGACAAGTGGTGGTAAAATCATTTTTTTATCCAAAGCATTTAGAAAAAAATCTATATGGTTAGAAGCAGCATTGAATTCGAAACAAAACTATATCTTTTTTTTTGATTTATTTTGCATAAAAAAATGATATCGATGAAAAATGGCCTGTTCTAACAAACGATATTTTTTTTTTGACCTTAGTTTTGAAATCATTGTCTTCTAAGCCTAAAAATCAGTTTATAAAAGCAATAGTACTTTATAGATATCTAGAATCCATCACTTCCAGATAGACTGAGGACTTAACAAGTATATAATTTCAGTTTATTGGACTAAAAACTAAAATAAATACGAAAAAAAGGCATATATTGTTTTCCATCTAGACCAATTTTTATGATGAGGTTTTGATCCAATGAGTTATATATAGATCGACGCACTTTTTCATGCTCTATCCGAATATAACCATGAAACTTAATATATATATAAAGTGGTATTGCTATCATAAACTGACTTATAGGGTTGGAAGACAATGATTTCAGAACTAAGGTAAAAAAAACATCCTTTGTTAGAATAGGCCATTTTTCATTTATATTACTTTTTTATGCAAAATAAATCTTAAATTCGTGATCACCATGGTCAATAACCTATATCGAGATGAAATTAGAGTGAAAAACAGAAAAAAATGTTTTTTTCTTGGAGGTATTACGGCAAAAAAAAAGAAAATATACAGTTTTGTTCAAAATCCAATGCTGATTCTAACCATATAGTTTATTCCTAAATGTTTGGGGACGACAAAATAATCTTACCGCCACTGATTCTTTTTAAAAGTTCATGTTGTTTTCGTCTTTTTTTTTTCTTTGACAAAAGAAGAAAGAGACACAGCTAATCGAGTGTCGTCTCTTCGTTGTATTATCATGCTTCATCGATTATATCAAAGAAACTGACAATGATAGATTGTTGACAATTAAGAGATTGTCGTGACTCTGAATAGAAAGTAGATGATTAGACCTTATTTTTCTCATTAAGTTACTCTAGCGCTGGTAAGCCAGACAAAACAAAAATAAAAAAAACAAGTAATTTTGTTCATATCACCAATATTTTTATTTTTTATGCTTGAATAATCACTGTAGCTCAGAGATGTATAAATATTTATGTTTTTGTTGTGTGGTATTATTATTCACTTTTTATTGTAATCGAATAGTGAATAATATTTGGACGACAATCAAATATGATACAGTAAGTTATTTTTTTTATTTTTTTTTGTTTGTTTATGTACATAATAAGTAATACAGACTTCTGTTATAAGACGATATCACAAATTCAATTTTGTTCTTGGTTGAGAAATCTATACAGATGCTATTTCCCTACAGATTGCTAAGTGTCTAGTTCTAAAGATTAGAAAATAATCTTTTTCATTGAAGAAATACTCATCTAGAGATAAATACATTTTATCAATGAAGCCAATAATCGTTTTCAATTGATTATTGTCTTTCGCTTGATTCCATAGTGTTTTTTTGTCCAGAAAATAAAAGTTTTATATATATATCTATATTTTAATTCTTATGATGAAAAGAAAAGGATATAATAAAAGTATCCATGAAAACAACATAATTTTTCTGATTTATATTTTATATAGACATAAATTGGTTCAAATTATGAGAGTATCAAGTGGCATTTGTGTCATTACAATTCTGTTTTCAATACAGAATGCGGAAACATACTCGCTCGAGAATTTTGACAACTCCTATTCTCAACGCGATGCATCAATCTTTTATATACGACAACTTCTAAAACGTATTAAATCAAATCATGATAACAATTTACAATGGAGAAAAAGTAAATAATCGTTCATTTTTTTGTGCTTTTAATTTTTAACTTCATCTAATTATTCATACTAATTCTAACCATGATTATAAAAGCATTATTTTATAATGTAACTTTTTCATTTGAATATTTATTTGATATATTTATTCTAATTTTGAATCTATTATTTTTCAGGAACGGATGATACACCAAAGAAGTGCAAAGAAATAAAATCAGACACTTATTATGTTGGTGAGCTTGGACCAGCCATGCATAATATGACTACATATCGAGATTGTATGAATCTGTGTGAAACGGATAGTAAGTGCTATGCATGGTCATATCAAAATTCGAGTCAGAGCTGCTCATTTCAAACATCAGTGGGTCTAGCACAACCTAGTCCGGGAATGATGGGTGGATCTTGTCTTGGTAAGTGAACTACAGAAATGGATCGTCATTTGCTTTTTCTCGATATCACTCTCTAAAAGAATAGTTCGATTTTATATTCGACGATAAAACTATAGAATAAACAAAAGAAAATTTGATAAGATCTTTGTTTTTACAGTATCATTGCTAAGAATCATATAAGAAGATAACATTTACTCTAGAAGTTGTGAAAAGCTCAACATGAATATGAATGTTTGAATTAATGCTTTTAATTTTTCTTTTAAAGGACCAGCTGCGAAGGAAACACACTGCACTGAAGTAATAAACGGCTCCTATTACAAAGGTACTTACGGTCCAGCAATAAGGCAAGTGGCTACATATCAAGATTGCATGAGTAGATGCGATGCATTAGCAACATGCTTCGCATGGAGACATCGAGCGTTTGATAACACCTGTTGGCCGTTAAGTACAGCATATGGATTGATAAGTGATAAACAATATACAACTGGATCTTGTATTAGTAAGTGAACTAAAATATAAGTTATTTGTAACCATTTTATTATCTTAAATATTTCAAATTTGACATTATTTTAGTACAACAAACAGGATATCCAATGTTAATTATTGCAACAAAGCCACCAGTAATTACTACAACAAAGCCACCAGTAATTACTACAACAAAGCCACCAGTAATTACCACAACAAAGCCACCAGTAATTACTACAACAAAGCCACCAATAATTCCAATAATAAATCCATCAATAGGTCTTGAAACAGATAGACAACATACATTTATTCTAATTTTCAATCTATTATATTTCAGGAACGGATACTACACCAAAGAAGTGTCAAGAAATAAAATCAGGCTCTTATTATGGTGGTGATTATGGAACATCGATAGATAATATTGCTACATATCAAGATTGTATAAATCTGTGTGAAACGGATAGTAAGTGCTATGGATGGTTATATCAAAATTCGAGTCAGAGTTGTTGGCTTCAAACATCAGTGGATCTATATATTACTGATGCATCATGTATGAGTGGATGTTGTCTTGGTAAGTGAACCACAGAAATGGGTCGTCATTCGCTTTTCCTTGATATTGCTCTCTAAAAGAATAGTTCGACATTACATTCGCTCATAAAACTATAGAATAAACAAAAGAAAATTTGATAAGATTTTTGTTTTTACAGTATCATTGCTAAGAATCATATAAGAAGATAACATTTACTCTAGAAGTTGTGAAAAGCTCAACATGAGTATGAATGTTTGAATTAATGCTTTTAATTTTTCTTTTAAAGGACCAGCTGCGAAGGAAACACACTGCACTGAAGTACTATCAAACTCCTATTACTATAGTGAAGATAACAGTCTACCAATATTCGATGTGGCTACATATCAAGATTGCATGAGTAAATGCGATGCATTAGCAACATGCTTCGCATGGAAACATCAAGCGTCTTATAGTATCTGTTATCTCCAAACTACAGCATATGGATTGATAAGTGATGGGCGGTATACAGGTGGATCTTGTATTAGTAAGTGAACTAAAATATAGGTTATTTATAATCATTTTATTGTCTTAAATATTTCAAATTTGACATTATTTTAGAGAAACAAGCACCATATCCAACAATAAGTATCGAAGTATTTAGACAACAAGCATTAGACCAGCATAATTTTTATCGTGCAAAACATTGTACACCTCCCCTTATATTAGATCCAGCATTGAATGATATAGCACAAAGTTATGCAGAACATTTAGCTGTTATTGATGTAATGGAACATAGTGGAGATTCATTCAATGGTCACTCGATGGGAGAATGTTTATCGGTGTTCTATGATACAAACGGATTATATATTAAAGGTAGACAGTCCTCGAATTTTTTTATTTTTATTTAAAAGTTTGGTATTTTCGAAGGTTCAGATCCAGTTAATAACTGGTACAATGAAATCAAAGATTATAATTGGGGAAATCCTGATGCTTCAACAGGCGTAATTGGACATTTCACGCAGGTAATATGGAAAGGCTCAACTAGATTGGGTATTGGTAGAGCACTGACAAGCGATAATATGACCATGTATGTGGTTGGAAATTATTTTCCAGGAGGAAATGTCCCTGGACAATTTGCACAAAATGTCTTACCAATATGTTGAACAAGCTATCTAGTTTTGCATAATTTTCAACTTATAAACAATTAACAAAACATTTTTTTTTGAAAATAGAACTTTCATTTTAAAAATATTTAACCTGCACAAACTAACATTTTTATTCATTGTATGCTTTTACACATAACAATTTCAAATAACTATTAGTAGCTAGATTAACTTCACTTTTGTAATCTAAGTAGATTGATTGAATTCTAATAAAACTATTACTTTTACTTGAAATATAATAAAATTTTATCTTGATTTTTGTACATCATTAACAATTACTCAAAATCTAGTTCGATGATGTAAACAATGATTGAAACTAAATGCAATGGATGATGAATATATATCAAGAGTCTTTTAGCTCATTAAATTTTTCTTAGTAGTGTATTTGATAAATTGTTTTCTTAATAAAAGATATCCGTATAATAAAAATAATTTTTATTAGAGAATTGATGTTAAAACAATTTTTCTATCTAAAATATTCAAAACAATATTCTCCTCTTGGGTTTGGTTGACTGTAGAAAGAGCGAAAGAAAAAACGTCAAAAATAAAAATAATACAAATTATTGATAAAGAAAAACGTTGACGACGATAGTGTATCGAGGATTCATCTTACCTTGTTATTCTTGTTTTCGATATTTTTTTTTCTTATGACGTTTTTTCTTTCAGTAGCACACCTTAGATTTGACCCAATTGATGACATTTTGATGTGCAGTAATGTTATCATTCAAACCTCGATGATTATGAGTGAGCCAAAATTATATGTAGAAATCGATAATATATTTATTTCTCATCGTCAAGATCCAATGATATATGTAAATTGAAAAGAGCGTTTCATATTTGGTGATAGTTTTAACTAGATCTTCTAGTTAAATGTATTTAATAGAATTTCAAGAACTCACTAGAAACCTTCTATACAGA